TATAATGTGAAGAAACTGATACTGTGAAAAAAAATGCATAAATTGGAACAAATAAATTTAATAGTATAGAACAGTGGTCGCCAACCTCTCCAATGTGTTGAGCCACTTTGTTAATTTTGGAATAAACAGTGAGCTACCCATACGGAAACCACGTGACAATTATATTTTTTTGTGGAATTTTGAAGCTTCTTTGATTTTTGCAGTTTGTATTTTTAAAATTAAAATCGTTGTGAGAGCTAAAAGAATTGCTTCCGCGAGCTCCCGGCAGCTCGCGATGCACAGGTTGGCGACCGCTTGTATAGAAGGAGAGCAAAAATTAATTTGTGGTTAATTAATGATTAAAGGGTTTAGAGAAAAATCGGTAAAATAATAAAACGTTTCATTAATAAATACGTAATTCACACAATTAACTTTGTAATTCTACGGGTAATTCTGATCTACTTTTTGGCATTCATCACTTGGAGCTAAATTTACCATTAAATTTATGAGTAGACAAATTATAAATATGATTGGTAATAACTCTTATGGCTTGATGAATTAAACCCCTTTTTCAAATTACATGTTTAAAATTCTTCTGGCTTTTTCTGCTTTACAATTGAACATCTCTCCCCCACCAACGACCAAGAGCCCCTAAAAATATATGGCGATTAGCTGCATAAATTGGAACAAATAAATTTAATAGTATAGAACAGTGGTCGCCAACCTCTCCAATGTGTTGAGCCACTTTGTTAATTTTGGAATAAACAGTGAGCTACCCATACGGAAACCACGTGACAATTATATTTTTTTGTGGAATTTTGAAGCTTCTTTGATTTTTGCAGTTTGTATTTTTAAAATTAAAATCGTTGTGAGAGCTAAAAGAATTGCTTCCGCGAGCTCCCGGCAGCTCGCGATGCACAGGTTGGCGACCGCTGGTATAGAAGGAGAGCAAAAATTAATTTGTGGTTAATTAATGATTAAAGGGTTTAGAGAAAAATCGGTAAAATAATAAAACGTTTCATTAATAAATACGTAATTCACACAATTAACTTTGTAATTCTACGGGTAATTCTGATCTACTTTTTGGCATTCATCACTTGGAGCTAAATTTACCATTAAATTTATGAGTAGACAAATTATAAATATGATTGGTAATAACTCTTATGGCTTGATGAATTAAACCCCTTTTTCAAATTACATGTTTAAAATTCTTCTGGCTTTTTCTGCTTTACAATTGAACATCTCTCCCCCACCAACGACCAAGAGCCCCTAAAAATATATGGCGATTAGCTGTTTGAATCAACAGGAATCTTATTTTTTTTTATAAAATGGGTAAATTATTTATATGGCAATATTTGGTCAAAATTTCACTGATTTGATACGGCATGAAATTCCTATTTTGACAAAACGCTGTAGGAGTTTTGATTAATTTTTTTTTGGACGAATGGAAATCAGGCATCAACCCTCACCAGAATTAGTGTAATACCAAGTTTTCAAATGTTTGCTACTGTAGATGGAAATCATTGTAGGTTGCACGGTAGTTTACGCGGTATTGGCATTGTCTGCTTTTTCCCTTCATTCAGGTATTCCCATGATTGAACAGGGAGAGAGAAAAATTTATCTAAAAGGTTTGAAGAACGTCATCGTTATTTAATTACTAATAACTTAGGAACTTAATTTAAAGCTGTGCGAACATTTCGAATAAAATTAGTACATAAATAAACATAATTATAATCAATATATACCATGACAGTATTTAAGGACGTGACTAGTAAAGATACAGAAAGCAAAGTTCACTTTGCATGCTTGCTCGAAAGTGATGAATAAACTTTGGAACCCTTTGTCTAAAAACCCCGACAGCATAAAACATGTCTTGCTACATATACACACGTCGAGAAGCTGCAACTTTTATCTCGAGCAGTGAAGAAATCGACTACACCTACTTTTTGGTTGTGCAAACGGGACGAGAACAAAGTGATCCTCGGTTTGGCGACAAAGACCCCATCCGAAAGTTTAACACATTTAGGGATTGAGCTTTATTCTGTCTGGGATAATCATTGAGTAAAATACGATGTACCTTCGCGAAACTGGGTCGCATTGCTTAATTCCAATAATAAAAATTTAGCTAGTACGGCCAACGCGTGAGAAGAGATCTTTGTACTAAAAACAGCTATTTATTTATTTATTATTTCTACCTTCATTTTGAATGAACCAACGTTCCTAGCCTATGAAGATTCTAACAGTCATAGCATATAGGGAGCTGGGCGTTTAACGCTTCGTTTTCATGTTATTATCAAAAACCGTCCAGCAGGCCACAAAATTATTCTGTATTAAAAAATTGCGATTCATTCTTTGAGGATGTGTGCTAAATTTCAATAAAAAAAGGATTTGTTTCATAAAACTTTAGCACTTTATAGCTCAAAATTTTAGAAGTTGAGGATATAGATTAATTTGAGCTTTTGTCGTATCTTACTCTGCAACACATTTTGTTATGAAAAGTTGAAATACCAAATAGATAATTATTAGTGGGCAGGACACAGAAGGAAGGAAGGAAAGATTGCAAAAACTAGCCGCTATTGAATCTCATTTCCCTAGTTCTTTGACAGCGTCCTCCGCTCACCGCTTCTAATGTCAATTTTTCATATCTAAAGCTGAATTGCCGCTCATTTAGCCAGTCAGTTATAGGATTACTGAAAGAAATGACGAGAGAGATGAGATTAATGAAAGAAGTGTATAACAGAAGAAAAAGAAAGTTTAAAGGGGAGACAAGAAGAGAGAGAGAAAACAATTAAAAGTTTGACTTTTGTTGTATTTTTAAAAGTTATTATTTGACTTGTTTGGAATCAAAAGGCCGCATGACTAGCAGGGATGTCTGAACAGAAGCCGCAATTTTTGATTCTTCGTTTTAAATTGCCATTAGTTTACTGATGGAAAACATAACACTCCAGTAATTATTTATACTGTGAAGACATTTTCTCAAATTCATTGTCGCAGTCTGAAGCATGTGCTTATTGTATTTAGGTAAAATTATTACAATGGAAAAATTTCCATAAAAAATCCCATCGTTTGCAGTTTGGTTGCTGTTTCATGTCAGCAATGCCATTGTTGGAAATAATTACTCCCATTTCACTTAACTGCAACTGTTTTCTGATAATTTAATTTGAAACTCATCCAAAATGACAAAACTATTTGGCAAATCTACCTGACTGACAGCCAGAAAAGCAAGTCTAACGCAAAAATTAACCGAACAATTTTGCAAAGCACACAAATAGAAATAATTTGCCATTATTTAACGAAATATACGAAGTATCGAGCCGTTAGTAATTTTTCAATTAATAGTTATTTAAATTATCGTTAACGTTATGAGGTAACGGATTGATTAAACGAATCCATTATTACACTAAAGTGGCTAATAATAAATTGTAGCATTGACGTTAATGGGATATTATTATAATATGAAATGTCCATTTGATACGCAAATGGAGATTGTTGAACACGCTCGCAAGTGAATAAGAGTATTGAACGATAATACAATATTGGTCTTTTTATTCGATAAATATAATATTAAACGGTTGCCGTTACGTGCCATCAATTTTTTATTATTAGGATTACGATACCCTTAGCAACTAACGTTTATTTAATGTACGACCAAATGTCAACGTATTTTTAATTTTTAATGTTCCTCATGTATATGCACGCTGCTTCACATATCTGTATTTAATGATGGATAACTCTTTAATGTCGACTTCACAACACGGAATGTTCAAGGTAAGTAAGTAATTGAGGCAAATATTTATCAACCGGAAATAAGGTCAAGTACATAAAATGATAAAGTTCGTGGTCAACATTCGATTTTAAATTTCCTGAAAGTAAATTGTTAAAATAACCTACATTAGCTTTATCCTAAAATATAACTGCCATATTTAAAAATTCTTATACATCATGGAACGTCTAATTTAATAATTATTTTTTAACAGTCCCTATAGCAATTTTTCTGCGGAGGAAATTTATTCTCTTATTACAAATATCTAAAGCAAAATTAATGAATATTTGTTATCCTAGAGATCTCCCCATACACAGTGGACAAGTTTGTTGCTGTATAGGCAAGGGTTGTGTGATTGTCCCTTAGATATACTTCATTCAACTCGTATTTAATCTGTTATATTTTTTATTTTATTTTTGTCATTCAATTAATAATAATTATACTATGAGTCTATGCTGAACATTTTGTAGTGTAAAATCAAATAAAGCATATTATCATCACGATAAATTCGCAGATGACACGGTCATCGTAACCTCACCAACACTTACAAATGCTACTAAACAAAACTGTGACCGCGAGTGCTGTACAGAAATAGTTTCCTTCTAAGTATCTGGGTTTAAACAACAAAAAAACTCAAAAATATCACCATGCTAGGATTTGTTATTGGTCGTACTCTCAGCTGGATACCTCAGATTAATGAGCACTGCAGAAATTTATCCAGCAGAATATTCTTGTTAAGACGATTTAGTTAATCCTGGACGTCACCGCTGCCATCATTCTAAGAGCCAATAGCTTTCTCCTAAATGACAAAAAATCTATTGCTATAAGGTGTCGCTTACTATGGAGTAATTTCGGATATTCAAATTTCAAAAACTGCATTCATATCTCGAAAATTCAAGAGAATATTCAAAATGATATTTAAAATATAAAAAAAGAAAGAAATTATCTTTAAAAATTAAATTTTTACGGATGTTTTACATACAGGTAAAGAACCTGCGAAGCACGTTCGCAGCATTTGAATTTAATCTTGCGCAATGAAGTCCCGTAACACCATTGCCGCTTTTATTTCCGATAATTTAAAATGAAAAATACCTACACTTCCTCCGACTCCAAGAAACCCTTTATTAACCCAATAGACTTTTCCGCCACATTGAATTTGAACTTCGGGATTGCGACAGTGAAAAAGTCGGTCGCTGTACAACCAGCGGACACGTTCATTTGTTTTAACGAAGATTGTTTATTTGTTTTGTTGTTTCAGATAAGCCGGTACGATGGCGGCATTCGTAGCGAAGCAAATGGTGGGAAACAAACTTAACGCAGTTAAAGGTAAGCGTTCAACGTCCCATTTGCAATTCGATTACGTGGGAAGTAGTAAGATGGGATTTTATGCGTTTTTCATGGGGTTGCTGAGGTTGTTTAATTTAATATAATAGGTCCGTTTTAACCCGGCACAGACTAATATGACAGCGTAAAGGATGAAGGAACTTGGAAATTTAGAAAAGAATGAGCTCGAAATAGTAAATAGAAATATTTTGTATGAGTAGCCAGAAACATTCGAAAATGCTTGGGTTGGTCTTGGTTAGTACTTAATTTTCTTCCAATGGGTAATAGTAATAATAAAAATAGAATCGTTGAAATATACTAATAATTAAAAACTTATTAATAAAAATATGAGATACATCAATAAAATAAAATTTTCGTGCTCACCGAAATTTCATATTACTAAAGTTTTCCGTGAAAAAATCTTTTTATTATTTACACGTTTGTTAATTAAATTGTTATTCTTATTCGTTCAAAACAATAATGCCAACAATTAGAACTTATGTCAACAACTTAGGACGCTACGAAACGTTAACAACATTCAGTTTCGTATACTTAAGTGTCCCAAATAAAGACTACAGGTCCTAAAGCGTCAAAAGAAAATCTAGAACTAATTGCCAGTCGAAATCCCCACTCATAACAATGCTATAATCAATATCAAAGTAAAATAGGCATTATTTGCAAAATTTTTACAAAATTTATTCCAGAATGTTAGTAATGTCATTGATTTTTTTTTAAATTGAACAATTTGCTGTATCTCTTTCTGCTAAAATAATATTTTTGGCACATTATAAGCTAACTTCTTGTTTGGTCTTGGATCTGCAAGTTGAAATAATAGAATAGAATATACTAGAATAGAACTTTATTAACCATTCAGATAGGTTATACAACAAATGCTACGTCCAAAATAACAAAACCTTGACACAATAATACAGAACAGTAACTAATAACTATTATATTATAGACAAATCTAACAATGAGAGTACAAAAAATACGAAAATTCATTCAGTTTGATATAAAAGGACATTATAAAATTTTACATGTGGAAGTCTAACGATAAAGACAAACAATCAGATTTGATATTTATAATATTTTAACTTACACTTTATCGAGGTTCGGAATGTAAAATAAAGGATATTAATATAAGGTTACATTAAAGTTAAATAAAACATGGAGGTTATATAAAACATATTTTTTTGCCATTGAAATAAGACACAGTTAGGGACATATTAAATTAGAAGCGGAAGGTTGATGATAAATTGTCAAAATGAGTTATAAAGGAAGCTAATTTATTGACGAGCGCAGCGAGAGCTTAATGAACAACTGACCTAAGGAATTTTACTTTGCTCTTTCTATGATGATTAGTTTGTGAGTATATTTTGAGTGACGTGAGCAGTAGAACTGAGAAACCTGAAAATACCATGGCTAAAATCTACCGAAAACATCCGATCGCTTCTAAACCCATATGATGATTGGTGAATTGAAAAAATACGTTTCGGACTTTTGTTTTTATAACCCGCAGGTCAGACTGTAAGGCTGTACTCAAAGAGAAACTAAAGTTAAACTAATGCATACCTTCCCCAATTTAATTGCAACCGTATTAGCGCGACGTGATCCGAGGAAATGCGTGCGATTTGCCACAATAAACTTATTAAACGTTTCGGCTCCGATACGTACTCAGGCACGCGGTATGTAATGCTGCGACGCAATTACAGTCAGTCAAATGGCAAATTCGTATGCCGAGGTATTCGGCAGCAGAATGCGTCCCCACCTGGAGCTGCTAATGAGTGTCAAATTGATTGGCAGTATTCTCTAGTAGGTTTTATTTTGTAACACTCAAATGCGCATAATTATGCAGATACGTCATTTGACTGATCGATTTTTGTGCATGACAATTTATTAGAGTTCACTAATAATATTTGAGAGAATCCTTCGTAATTGAACGCCAGTATTGTTTTGCAAATTTTAGCATTACTTTCTAATTACTTCAAATATAATTAAGAACTAAACCATTTATTTCACATGTACAAGATATCTTTTTAAACACGCTACACATTAAATTTAAGCAATACTGTTCAAATATGTTCGTTTTAGCTGCTCTTATTTCAGAGTTCAGACAGTCGCAATCAAAATTTCTATGCACCAAAATATGCAATATTGAAGTCTATTAATACTTGGAGGCTATTACCAAAATCAAATTGGTGTAATTAATATAGAGCTTGTCCTTTCATAAGACGACCACACCATACTGTGAAAATGCGGTCGCCATGAAATGTGCCACTCTAGTCAAGCGGGTTATTTAGAGCGGTTTTGATATTTTATTTGACTACAGTTTCGGCACAACGGTAATTCCTATTTTTCAATTTCAATTTACATTTCAATTTTGACGATAGTAATTCAGGGCGTTTGTTGACTCTTTTGGGTTTGCTCATCTAATAAATTTGTGTACAATAGGGGAAAACTGTTCTGCCAATACTCTCGTGAATTTCGGGTGCTTTAATTGGTTTAGTGTTATTGACACATTTATTTCAGCTTGCTCGGTATAAGCACCTCGTATTTACGAGCAACGATGCGGAGAAAATCGAGAGGCGCGTATGCAAACCCATAACGAATACTGATTTACATTCATTGCTTCGTCTTGATTGGACGTACTTTTTAGTTTTATTTTTCAGTACACTATACAATACTGATGGAAAATATTTTTTTATGACAAATACCTCTGCAGTTCCACTGGCAGTAAATCCTGCTACAATAGTTTAATTTAATTTCGCAAGATTATTTGCGAGCAGCACCATATTTCTGTGTGGAAATATGGTTCCCCTAAATTGTATGCGCATTAAAATAAAATACTGCTCAGTAACCTGGCGCAGACGCTTCTAGTAGCATTAGTAGGTGGCAGTGCGGAAGTCTAAGTACAAAGTAGTAAGATTTTTTATACGTGCTGCATAGGTGTCAGTCATAAGGTTCTCAGTAAAATAATGTGTCACACTGTCTTTGAATGGCTCATCCCCATTTTTTGAAAGCAACCGCAACCATCAATATGACCGAGTTTCTTATATTCTCTAAGCATTGTTTCACATCGCTCCGACTGTATTTATTAACAATTGTCTTATACAGTTACCGTAATTTGGGGTTATATTATTTCAACTCCTTAGTATGGATAAAGTCTCTTGGTAATTTGTTTCATTAATAAAAAAGGATTTTAGTACCTGGATGTCCGAAGTACATTGTATGCCATTTTGGTTGCAATTACAGAACGTCTCGGTAATTAGTAAATAGAGAACCTTAACGATAGATCCTTACAGTTTTCGCTACGTTTTTGTAAAACTAAAGATGCTCCAACTACTCGTAATATTAGCAACATTCTTTTTTTTTTTGAAACAAATTATTCAATATCCCAGCACAAAATCGAGTCACGTAGTCAGTTTTTCTTACGTACTACTAGCCTTAAAAATTTTGAATGCGAAATATGAAAATTGCGATTTTTTCATTTTGTATTAAGGCAAAGCAATATTGTTATATATATTTGAGAAGGTCTTGCATATTTTAACAAATTTGCATGGAAAATGTTTGGATTTACCCTGTTATTTCTGGTTTTTGTCACTAGATTCTATTTAAAATAAGAAAGTGGTTACTTGTCCACAAAAAAACAAACGCTCTGTATTTAATGTGATATATTATTTTAAAAGCATAAAGGGATGATTTTTTGATATTTGGGACCTATTCTGAGAAAAGTTATCATCCCGTAATAAGCTACATATTGTTAGCGCATTTAAGAGAACTTGTAGATATGTTCCAAACTTTGCAGTCCTGTTTTAGAAACTTTGCAAAGCTAATCGGTTCCGCATAACGTGACAAACTTTTGACTTACGGCAGTAATAAAACGCGAACTTTAATGGCCTCGTGGGTAACACGAGATACTTTGTTGTCATACGTAAATGGGAATTTCCTGTGCATATACGATATTACATCTCGTAAAAATTGTACAAGTGACTGCTGCATTTACGTAAGTGATACTAAAAGATTTTCGCCAACATTATGTCGAATTGTACGCGATTGTAAATAATTATTAACAATTTTGTTGCTTGCTACGTAGGTCTCTACAGTCTAATAACGCTGAAACAGAAGAAAAGAGAAGTAAACTTAATCAAGCAATTATGAATGATCTCCAATTGGTTTAAATTTTTAAGCAAAGCAATATCGAGCCTGTGGATGACCTTTAATAATAAACTAATTGTTGTTTGATGTTGATGTATTGTGTTTTTAAGCCTCAGGAGCCTAATACCATTTTCACAACCGAAAGACCGACCATTTTTGTCCACTTTAAATCCTTTCGGAGAGATTATTGTAACAATAAACCATTTGCTATAAAGCATGAGCAAAACTGATGTCTCCTGTCTCCTATGTTTAAGTAAGCATGATTTCAAATAAAATTCTTCTAAATGTAAAGTTTCATATGTCGACTTTAAAATGCCAAACAAATCGTGTATGTTCGATTCTATGTAAATACATAAAATTTCAGATCTACGTTTTTGACTACATTACACTTGTTTGCTTCATTGCCAGAGTGATAGTGGTATATGGTTTAGAAAATATGATCTAGCTATACCTTTTATAACCTTCTGAAATAATACAAAAACTTTTTTAATTATGAATCGAATCGTCATTGGAAGTTTCACTAGAAATTATGTAAGATAAACCATTCGTCTCCCTACTCTTCGCGATGGAGCAGGTTTAAATGAAATTAAATAATTTTCATTCGTTGTATATCTTGATATCAAAAACCGAACAACCTAGTACTGTTATCATGTTTCATAAAACCGTCTATTTGAAATGAATTAAAATGTTACAGGCCGATAGAATAGAATTTTAAAAAAGGGAGTGAATTGTTCAGTAAATCAAAAATTTTTCGTAAGTGTGGAAATATGTATGGAAACCGGTGTTTGACTGACCGATAGGCCAACCCACTGCTCAACGTTTCCATATTAATCAGACCGAACCGGGAG